TGGAACAGGGCTTAGTAATGGTTTCTTATTTTGTTAGGTTCCTGATTGTGTCGACAAGCTTGCCCAGGCAGGAATCAAGATTTGGGTTCTGACTGGGGATAAAATGGAGACTGCTATCAATATTGGGTATTAAATTGAAATCACAACTTTTCATGTTGGCTTCACCATGAGTGTTACTTTTTTAGATATCTGACAGAAGCATGCAATTTCAGTTATGCTTGTAGTTTGCTTAGACAAGGAATGAAGCAGATTATAATTCATCTGGATTCTCCAGATATTCAAGCATTAGAAAAGGCTGGAGAAAAGATTGCTATTGCCAAGGTAATATAAATTTTAGCCCTTCATATAATTGTGTCTACAGTAATGTAGTTTGCATGTTGAGTATTTTGTATTTTCAGCAAGCACTCTAAACTAAGTAGTTCTCTTGAGTCTTGGATATTGCAAGATCCTAATTAGATCCAATCACAAGGAGCTAGCATGTGAGCTGAACATGCATTAAATTGCTAGAAAAATGAACTCATATTACATGGATTCTCCCTTCCCAGTTTTGTCAATAAAACATCTTGGCAAAGAGACGTAAGAATTTCAATAACTTCGTTTGCCTAGCTTTCCTTAATTAATATTATTTCAAAATATACCTTGAGTTAGATGCTGCTGATCACGCTTCACCTGCATGCTGCAATATCTCCACGCAGTTCTCTTCCTTTTCATTTTTCCCTATTCAAATTTGTCGCCTTTTTGGGGCTTGGAAAAGGAGTTGATTGGTGCTTAAGAGAAGTTGCTGAGAATGAAATTAGAGTCCTGATGTTTTTATGCTGATTTATTGGTCAGGCATCAAGGGAAAATATCCAACGTCAGATATCTGAAGCTACTGCACAACTTTCTGTTTCCAGAGGGACTTGTCAGCAAGCATTTGCTCTGATCATTGACGGAAAATCACTTGCGTATGCTCTTGAGGATGACATGAAGAACATATTTCTGGAGCTTGCACTTAATTGCGCATCAGTTATCTGCTGTCGGTCGTCACCAAAGCAGAAAGCACTAGTATGTTTTCATCTATTCTGTAATTATTACCCTCTTTTGACATTGTGGCATATTTTTTATTTTTGGGATAATTCTTGGTAGATGTATGGGATAATTTTGATTGGTTCCTCTCTGAAAGGTTACCAGACTTGTTAAATCTGGAACTGGCAAAACAACACTAGCCATTGGTGATGGAGCCAATGATGTGGGAATGCTTCAAGAAGCAGATATAGGGATTGGAATTAGCGGTGTTGAAGGAATGCAGGTAATCATGTGTGTCATGTTTCATTTCAATTCACATCTATTTTTTTCTGTTTAAGGAATTCAGGTAACCACAAAATTTTACGTTTTATCTAATTGATTTTTTCTTCCATATTCTGTTATCTTATAGCTTTTATTTTCTCCTTCTTTCCCCTCTATTCTCTTAATCCATGCCCAGGCTGTTATGTCTAGCGATATTGCAATTGCCCAGTTCAGGTACTTGGAACGGTTACTCCTCGTGCATGGGCATTGGTGTTACCGGAGGATCTCGTCAATGGTATTGCTTTTCTTATACCTGCGATGTTACTTTCTAGTTCTAGAAGATAACAGATCCTTCTTTGTTCATTATAGCGACTAAGTCATTCTTCTGCTGGCAGATATGCTATTTTTTCTACAAGAACGTCACTTTTGGATTCACTCTCTTCCTGTATGAAGTGTATGCATCATTCTCTGGAACACCTGCATACAATGACTGGTTTTTGTCTCTCTACAATGTCTTCTTCTCATCTCTTCCTGTTATTGCTCTTGGCGTATTTGACCAGGATGTTTCTGCCCGGTATTGTCTCAAGGTAAACCTACTTCTAATTTGTGTTTATGTTTTAATGAAGAACATCAGGAGCCAGTATGCTGGCTAATTATGGATCAGGGGAAACTCACACGCAAAAATCCCATTAGAAGACAGTATATTCACATTAACTCTTATGGGGGCATCATATCTGCGTCACATCTCAATTTGATGAAAGAAATGTTGTGATTGAGAAAAGCTCAATTTTTTGGAGGATGAGAAGAATGACCGGGCCCAAAGGAAAAAAAGGCTGAGGGGACTAATCAGACTGAAAACAGAACAAAATAACAAAAATCCTAGAAAGTTTAATAATTGTAGAAGAGCAGTATTAGGAGACCTTTTGGCGGAGCTCAAAGAGAAACAGTAGACGCAATTCTATCCCTTAGCATATGTAAGGGCAAAGTTAGACCTTGTAAACTTGCTTTTTTTTTTTTTTTGGGGGGGGGGGGGGGGATGTTGTTATCTAGGAAGCCCACCTAAACACTGTTGGCAGAAATGGCCATCACCACCTTTATTAAATGCCAGAAATTCACTTTGCTCATTTGATTTGGCTGGGTACTGAGTATTTTCTAAAGGATTTTGAATCCACATTGTGATAAATTATTACATATTTTGTACTCTTTGCTCAGCTTGGACATACTGGCACATTCTGTTTCTTGAATTAATATCTTATGTTTAGCAATCATAGTTATGTTTTGCAACTTTTGAACTGACATCAAATGTTCAGTATTTATCTCAAAGCGTGGCACTAGACATAGGTCTTGGTTGACATATGTAAAATGGGTAGCTTGTTGCCTAAAACACGGCCACCACTTATGTCTTCTTCTGTACGAGGTGCTGGGGCCGTATTGCTTCTTACCTGAACGTTGGCACCTGAAGTTTGACATCATAAGCATTGGTTTACTTTATAGGAAATTCCTGGTTATTGCTTCTATAACGATCTCTTGCTTATTAGTTCTATTCAATGTGCAGTTTCCTCAGTTATATCAACAAGGAGTGCAGAATGTCCTCTTTAGCTGGCGCCGTATACTTACCTGGATGCTGAATGGATTCACAAGCGCAATCATAATTTTCTTCTTCTGCACAAAGGCAATGGAGCTTCAGGCCTTTGATGAGGAGGGAAGAACAGCCGGGAGGGATATACTGGGAGCAACCATGTATACCTGCGTTGTATGGGTTGTAAACTTGCAGATGGCACTTGCCATAAGTTACTTCACCTTGATTCAACATATTTTCATCTGGGGTACCATTGCTTTCTGGTATCTTTTCCTCCTGATATATGGGGCGATGCCTCCGGGATTTTCCAAGAATGCCTACTATGTGTTCATTGAAACGCTGGCCCCATCTCCCATGTTTTGGCTTGTGACCTTCTTCGTGGTGATCTCAACCTTGATACCTTACTTCTCTTACTCAGCACTCCAAATGAGGTTCTTTCCTATGTACCATGAAGCGATACAATGGTTAAGGTATGAGGGGAAGGCGAATGATCCAGAATATTGCGCCTTGGTGAGACAGAGATCATTGGGGCGAGTAACTGTCGGTTCAACAGCACGCTTAGAGGCTAAGAAGGCTAACCACAGTAAAAACAGAACTTCTAACCTTAAATGATCTTATTTTTAGGTTTATTGTTTAATTCTTATGAGGTTGTAGCTAGCTTGTTCATGTCAGCCTGGAATATCTATCTTGTTTGACCATAGTCTTGGAGTTGTTATTGGCTCCTCTCGGCCAGGGAAAAAGCATGTTTGCTTCCCATGAAAATGGTGCTTGGAACCACCATTTGGCTATGAAGTTCAAAAGAATAAATCTCTGTATATTTATTCTCTGGCCATTTGGGTCTGCATAGTGGTTCGTTTATTGTATCATAGAAGAGATTAGTGTATAGAGATGCCCAAGTTTTTTTTTCCCCTTTGGTAGGATTGGGTAGAGACTTGGAGTTGCTTTATCCAATTTATAGAAAATAGAACAGAGTTCCCCTGTTTCTGAGGCATTTCAGTTTGTATTTTATTTCAAGTCCTATCTACCTATCATTTCCTCCCCTATCTTCCTGCATCTCAAGTCTTAAAGAAAACAAAAAGACAAAACGCGCGAGCGCGCGCACACAAAAGACAAGCCACAGCAAGTTGAAAGACAGATAGCAAAAGAACCGAATAAGACAATATAAGAAATGGTTTATACACAAACACACACATACTGTTTCTGGTTCTTAATATAAAAGTTAGTTGACTAATTTGAGTAGATTAAAGAAGTTTGTTGAATTAGTTATTTATCATAATTAGGTACTGTCTTGTCTTCTGTAAAATATTCTTACTAATAATGTGTATTAGTTATAATTACCATTTGATTGAACTTTTAACATATGCAATTACTATAAGGATTATTTTTTTAAAAAAAGATAAATATGAAAAACAAAGTAGATTGGGATCTTATATTTAGAATTAAATTTAAAGTCAAATTAGTTCTTATATTAAGGATCGAAGATAATATAATTTAAAGTTTATGAAATATAAACAAAGATAATAGGGATTCATGAATGCATTACGTGATAAAGACAAACTTTGAAGATACCTAGTGAGGGAACATGTGAAATACAGAAAAGTCAGATTCATTTCTTCTGTTCAAACCAAATACCAAACGGAGTTATATATATAATCTACAAGCTGCATTAATCTGAATAATAAACTATCCTTCGTCATGTTGACCGGATCATATATTGAAAGAGGAAGTAGCAGGAAACAAATTAAACCCTAATCTGCTTCCATGAATCTCATTTGCGAACCAATCAAAATAAATAATTAATAACGCATTACCCTTAAAATGAGAACGAAATGTTCTTCCTTTTGTGGGGAAATATAATAAAGTTATGCAGAAATGATCAGATTCATTTCTTCCCTCAAAACCTGATAAACAAAATACCAAAATGAGTTCTTTCTGTATATAATTCACAAATAAATATACATTAAATCTTCATTTAATAAAAGAGATCATCAAATAAATTGTTAATTCTCGTCTACGCAACATACACACAAACAGAGATTGGGTAATACGCATTTGATCGATTTGCATGTTGCATTAATTTACAACTGACAATCTTTTTCCACCCTCAAGAGATCAACTTGATTAGAAAAGCGAAGGGTTTTAATTTATTTTTTCCTTGCATCTTTTATCCTAAGAAAGAAGAAGAAGAAGATAATATACACAGAAGTTAATCAAACCCTTAATAATTAATCTGGAAAATGAGAATTAATTAAGCTCCTAGGCGACCTTGAGGCCAAGAAAATCAGAGGCAGATCTGGCCATGATGTTTGCGAACTCATTGAAGCTTATGGCGCCGTCGCCATTGGTGTCGGCTTCGTTCATCAAGTCGGCGAGTTCTTGGTACGTCAAGGGATGGCCCATCTTGGCCATGGAGCCGGCGAGCTCGGCGGCGGTGATATAGCCGTTACCGTCACGGTCGAATGACCGGAAGACCTCGAGAAGCTGCTCCTGGGTCATGAGGATCTCCTCGCCTTGCAGGTCGGGGAGGATGGCCTTGGCAAGTTCATCAAACTCGATGTAGCCGTTACCGTTCTCGTCCATGTTGGACAGAAGGGCGTGGAGCTGGTCACCGTCCGGCTTGATTCCGAGCGACCGGAGGAGGGCGGCGAGCTCCAGAAGGGTGATGCTGCCATCGGCGTCCATGTCGAAGTGCCTGAATATCTCTCTCAACTGCTCCACCTGGTCGTCGTTTTGCAGCCTCGTCATGATTCTGCAACGTTAATATCACAGAGAAAAAAGAGAAAGAATCTCTCTCTCTCTCTCTCTCTCTTCGTTCTTCTCTGAAACGTAGGTTTTCTTCTGTGAATGATATTGTGAGGCTTACAAGTTGCTTGATTTTTTACGTCAAATTTGGTGTCCTGCGATCACAACGAGAAAATTATCTTCCAGACTGCACATACGAACCAAGTCATATGAATATATAAATGTCAAATTCTTCTTTTCCCTTTTTGTATCCCAAAATGTCTTAGTTTATAGGTTCAGAATTATTTCGAGGATTATAGACAGATTATGTCCAAGAAATGGCCGATGGGCTCGTGGGGTTATATATATATATATATATATATATATATATAGGCGAGAGGGTAATTGATTTGTGATGTTGGTGACGTGGAATTATATAGTTGGTTTTGTACATAATTAGGTTAATTGAGTCAAATTTGTTTCGAAGTTAGTTGATGATTGTTGACTTGACTTGGTTTTGTATAGGGTAATTAATAGATAGTAATGTTTTATTTATTATGAGTTAATTGTTTGACTTACACATGTTTGGCTCAATCCTAAAGAAATAAGAGAAGGGATTTTAATGAAGGAAAGGAGAGGGGAGGAAATGAGAAAGTAGCTACAGAGGGGAAGGTAGGGAAGAGGAAGGAAAGGGATTTTAATAATCTCTTGTTTGGATTGATCGGAAGGGAGGGAATGTGAGGAATTTTAACAATACCTTATTTTGTTCAAATAAAAAACTATTTTAATCTTAATAGATTTTTTCACATTTTTATTTTATCAAGGTATAAATATATATAATACAATTTACCAACTTTGACTTAAAAGACACCGTTACACTACACACATATAAGATATCAAGATAAAAAACAGTAAGTGATGGGTTTCAATTAAAGAAGAGGCATTGAAGGTGAAAGAAAACATCACATAAAACAATGAAATTAGAACAAAAGAAAAAAGGTCCAACACCGTTCACGAACTTTGGAAACAACTATCTCGACAACTTCTTACTAGTTATTCAAAGAAACTTTCTTGCTTAGAAATGTTTACAGGTGATCAAGGGTTAACAAAGCAAAAAGATATATGAAGCATTAAAGTATTTTAGTTAGGCTAATTTTAAAATTTAAAATTTTATCTCTCATTTCCCATCCCAAAAATCCCACCTTTAGAGGGGAGACTAGAAAGGAAAAGGAGGGGAGAAGAGCCTCTCCCTTTTTAAAGAAATATCTCAATCAAACAATAACCCCTCCCTTTCAAATACTTCACACCAAACATAGTGTATCTCATGCGTGTTATTTTTGATGATTCGTCACTTTAGTTGATTAGATTGATGCTTTTTTTTTTTTTTTACCAAAGATTAGATTGATGCTTTGATTTAGGAGAGTTGGCATTTTGCCCATTTTGTTCATTTTTTTTAAGGTAAACTTTGCATGATTCGTCACTTTAGTTGATTAGATTGATGCTTTTTTTTTTTTTTACCAAAGATTAGATTGATGCTTTGATTTAGGAGAGTTGGCATTTTGCCCATTTTGTTCATTTTTTTTAAGGTAAACTTTGCATTCAACACTTTGATTATTTTCTAAGTGCATTTAACATTTTAATCTTTTTGATTGTATATGGAGCACTTTATTTTTATTTGTAGTGCATCTAGCACTCTAATCTTTAGAGTGTGCTGAATACACTTGAGAAATAAAATCAGAATGTGGAATGTAACTTAACTTTATTACTTATTTTTCTATGTACTACTACCCTTCCTATTATAAGGTGGGAGTACTTTTTAGAAGGAACCAATTGGTAACTACTAAGTGGGTGCCATTATGCTGTATTTACAAGTTAGTTGTACAACAAACGTGCAAATCAAGAAATGCATTGAATTAATAATTTTTCTCCATTTGTCTTTATTAAAAAGTATTAAAAATATGTTTTATATTTTTTCTCACATCTCTTTTTGCATTTATTAAGTCAATAAGAATAAAATAAAAAAACTTATTCATTATTTTTTAAGTGATTTATAAATAGCAACATAGTGTTACTATCTCCGGTCCTTAATATAAGACCTCGTTTGACTTTTATTTTGATCCTAATTATAAGACCCCAATCTACTTTGTCTATTATATTTATGCATTTTTTTAAGATAGTCCCTCTAATAATAATAGTTCTAGCTAATAAACTTGATTAGTAAGGATATTTTAGGAAAGACAACACCTATTTATTACAAATAACTAACTTAACTTATTTTTTTAATCTCTTCAAATTAGTCAACTAGTTCTTATAATTAAGACAGGAGGTAGTATTAATTACTAATTCTTATTCTAATTATAAAATCTCATTTGTAGTTTATAAATAAGATTTTATAATTAGAATCAGAGACAGTATATTCTAGTAAGTTGCCGTTATCTCAAATTTTTGCGATTGGCCATCTCCCATCTAGACGCTTACCTGGTTTTCTCGTACAAAACTACAAATTGGTGGGGGGCCAAAACTATCTTTTGTTTTATTTGGACTTTTCTTTATTTGACGAGGAATCTGATTGCCCGGAGTCATTTTGCGATCGAATAATTTTATAATAAATAAATTTTTATACATAATATTATTAAAAAGAGGGGGGAAAAAACTGAAAAGGAGCTATGATTAGTCAACATAGACGGACAAACCGCTTTTCTTTTTCGTTTGATTTTTCAACATATAAAAAGTTTTAAATTATGTTACATTTTGTAATTAGATATGTTGAAAAACATAATTACAATATAAAGTTTTAATGAAGTTTAAAAGGGCGCTTATTCGAGATACCCACATTTAGTTCATGTTTGTGACTCAAACAAAATTATTTCTGAGGAATTATTTGTGAGCAATTAGAAAAGGCTGCTTATTATAAGTATTCCTAAGACTTTAACTAATTATAAATTTTATAACTGGTAACAAAACTCCTCCCAGTCTCCAACTAATACTCTTTCTGATCCTAAAAAGATACTACCTCCTCTCTTTAATATAAGATTTTGTTTGACTTTTATTTTGATTCTAAATATAAGACCCCAATCCACTTTGTTTCTCGTGTTTATGTATTTTTTTTCAAAGTAATCCTTCTAGTAATTATAATTCTAGCCAATAAACTTGATTAATAGGGATATTTTAGGAAAGACAACACCTATTTATTACAAATAACTAACTTAATTTCTTTTCTTAATCTTCTCAAATTAGTTAGCTAGCTCTTATAATTAGGACTGGAGTAGTATAATTTTTGGAGTGGTCTAGTCCTACCTATAATACACAATTAAAAAAGATGTACGAAATTTTAATAATCTTTTTATCATTTTTAATTTGCCTTGATTATCCCCTTGTTATATTATTTTGGGCAAAAAAAAAAACATGTTACATTATTGTATTAATTACTTCTCACATGCATCCTTTTCCTATTTATTATCTCCTCAACTCTCTCTACATACATAAAACTATTTTTAAAAAATAAAATTATTTTTTAACACATTTATTACTGTTAATTAATATTAAGCGACTTTTTGATGCATGCAATTTAGTTATGGATATCCTATATAAAAAAGTGAAGGGAGTGATTTTTATTGAGTATAATTTTGAGATTTTATGGGAAATAATTAATTTTAACTCAAATGGACTATTTAATTGTTGCTTATAAAAAGGATTAGAGGAAGCTATATTCATTTGTGTATATCTATAATAAATCATACTTAAATCCAGGTAATTATGAGGAACCAAATCCAAACTAGTATTACCTTCTATCCCTAATAAAAAAAACTCATTTAAATTTTATTTGATTTTAAATATAAGATCTCAATTTACTTTGCTTCTTATATTTATTTATTTTTTCTTAGAATAGTTCTTATAATAATAGTAGTTCTAGCCAATATATTTGATTAGTAAAAATATTTTAGGAAAGACAACACCTATTTATTACGAATAGCTAATTTAACTAATATTTTTAATCTAATCAAAAAAATCAATTAGTTCTTATATTAATAACGGAGGCAGCGCAACGAAGAATTTAACGAGCGAGAAGAAGAAAGAGAAAAAAAAGAAAAAAGTAAAGTCTAGCCATTTATGTTTTGCGCGATGAACCTGCCGTTTGGATTATTTGGTATTTTACAAAATGATCATCTCCTCCGTCTTCTACCTGCTCAATTTGACTCAGAGTACTCACATTAATGGCGGGAACAGAACAACCAGACTCTTCCCCTTCCCTTCCTCTACCCCAGAAGCTCCCAAACCCAAATTCTCCCTTCTCGTATAACTCCATCATCACCTTCTCTACTTCCTCTATACACTTCCCACACCTTTGACGCCCTTCATCTTCCTCGTCGCCTCCAAAACCGCTCTCCCTCCCCGCACCAACCCTAACACAGTGCTCTTCCTCCTCGATCTTCACAATCTCCCCCGATCTCCTCCCTCGATTAGCTTTCTCTTAACAAATTCTCTGGTTCTCTTCGCCAATTTGGCGGGAAGCCCGAGCAGAGCGAAGACCAGGACCTGCAAGATCAGGCACTGACAGCAGCAGCAGATGACGACGCAGTCGGCAGCGATCGTGTTCAGATCCTCCATGGCCGCGACTGCGAGGCGCCGATTCAGAGGAGGAAGAGGTAGAAGAAGCCATGGATGATGAGAGTATAAACAATTAGCTGATGGAGGTTCCTTGTCTTGTGAGGAGACGACGGAGGGGAAGAAGCAATGGAGAGCGAATGAGGAAAAGCAAAGCAAGAGGAATAATTGAATTCTCAATGATGAAGGGTGACGTACTGAACGCAAACTGTGGCTTGTGACCCAAGTAAGCTGCCCACATCACTCCATCAATTTCTAGTTTCCTGGATGCTATGCTACTCTTACCTCCAAACATTTCTCTCTAAGCTTCCCAATTACTAGCTCCGCTCCTAATTATAAGAGTCAGTTGATTAATTTGAGGAGATTAGGAAAAGAAGTTAAATTAGTTATTTGTAATAAATATGTGTTGTTTTTTTAAAATATCCTTACTAATCAACTATTTTAGTTGGAACTATAATTATTAGAAGATTACCTTAAGAAAAAAATGCATAAATATGAAAGACAAAGTGGATTGATGTCTTATATTTAGAACCAATAATAAAAATCAAACAGGATCTTATATTATATTAAGGACCGGAGGTAGTATTTCCATCAAATTCAAATCACATAAATTATTTTACTTTTATCAAATGATGCGAACCAAGGGAAGAAGGGAGATGGAGTGATGTTAGATGTAGCTGTGTTAAAACTTGGTCCTACACAATTTAATTCGGATTAATCGGTTGTTTGGATACCAATAATAAAACTCACAAAAAGCATTGGATACCAAGTGGCCCAAATGGTTGTAAAAAGAACAGAGAGATAAAGAATCCTTATATTACTTAAATTCATGTTCCAACAACAAATTGTTAAACTTGAACCATTACGTTTACTCTATTACCCATCCGTTGTAAATAGACCATCCATTTAACGAAGAGAGAAACTCTAGCCAATAAAAATGAGCTGCTCATATAGAGAACTTGTAAATAAAACAACTTCATATAATAAATTATTCCATTTTTTTCTTTTTTCTGAACTTCCAAGAAAAATGTTGATACTTCTTCAATAATATTCGAAAGGTTTAATTAATTGGTTGGTTGAAAAACACAAAAGTCTAGTCTAGGGAAATTGAGGGGTAGAACTAGCCAGAGTCAATCTCAGATACATTACAAATAGAATCCCCCCTTCTTTCATTTCATTTCATCGTATTTTTGTTGAAATACAATATTTACATAAGAAAATTGAAGTCGCTATCGAGGAAGTTTTCCCCCCTTAAAAAGGACTTGAATTGAACGAATGCAATTCATTCTTAATGGCTACAATTTTTTTTGACTAAAGTATACATTTAGTCTTTTAATTTTATACAAAGTTTCAATTTGATCTCTTAACTTTAAAAAGCATACATTTGGTCTTTAACCCTAAAATCATTAGTATTTGATGATGATTTTTTGTAACAATTATAGATGTTTTGAAAATTAAATTTAATATGTTAGCATTTGAGAATATTTTATCAATATTTAAGATCTTAATATTGCCATTTTTTTAAAAAAAATTGTAGGGTTAAAAGACTAAGTATATTTTTTAAAGTTAAGGGACTAAATTGAATCTTTATACAAAGTTAAAGAACTAAATGTATACTTTAGCTCTTTTTTTTTTTAAAAAAAAAAACTGTTTTGCATATAGTTGAATATAGGTTTAAATAAAGTTCAAGTACTCTTGGGCAATAAATATTTTAATGGGAATTTTCCACCTATTGACATTGTATTGGATATCTATATTAATAGGAATAAGAAAATTCACGTAGCCCTTATTAGGTTATCATAAAAGATGAAAACGAAACTAAGCTATTTGAGTCTTAACTCCTTAACTACATCAGAATCTCTGCAAGCAGCTCCGAGTCCCTTAGTATTCCTTTGGACCCTCTCTCATGGTTCAACCTTCTTTAAGCTTTAATTGTAACATATTGGTTCTGTCCCATTAATCATCTTAAAATTACTCTTTTTTTTTTTTTTTGCTTCCTCTTGGTCCTTGGTCAAAGAAAATTCATCGAGGTATTGAGGTATTGTTTTTGTTTTTATTATAGTGGTGATGTTTCCTCCAAATGTAGGACTGTACAGACTTCAGTGGCTCAATTGCTTTCCCTTAGAAGACATGAGATATGGACCATGAGGGAAGCTAGATTCATTCAAGATATGGATAACTCACTAATGTCCAAACTACGGAAAATAAAGTGCTTGATCGTTGAAAATCCAAATTCCAAAATTAGAATCAATATAATTAAGAAATCGACCCAAGACAACATCTTGAAAAGAACCATCTGCATCAATCAAAATTCATGTTCTGAACTAAACTAAGCAGGATATCAATCAATATTTAATGTTTAGAGACAAAAGAAGCAGGGCATCAAAGTTAAATATCAAAAGAAAAGACCAAATAATCATGATGATTGGATCAAGTGGAAAGGATTTAATTTGACCTAAGTAAAGTCAATGAGGTTCGAATAAAAGAGAAGAAGAATGTGAGACCAAACAATGAGAATCCAATGTAAAGTTTAGGGAATAAGAGGGCAGAAAGAGGTTAGGCCATGGGCTGTGCTCGAATCCTGTAGCCAAATGCGTTATCAGTAGAAAGGCAAGCAAATGAATACACTTTTTAGCGTAGCCTACTTCATGTTCATATGCTCATCCATGATTAACGGCTACGTACTCTGCTTCCCAAACTGCCTCAAAACTACTTAAAAATAACAGTGGCATAATTGTGGACTTCTCATATGCGAATTTCTTTTCTAAACTAGGTTTAACCATTCTGGCTCTCAAGGATCTGGGTAAGGTTCCAATTTGCATCAACATTTCAGTCTGTGCACAAAGCTGTCTATAATAGGAGTCACCTCACATTTGATTTCCTTCAATACGCAGTCTGTTTCTATCCTTTTTGTTCGTCGAGGTTGTCTACTTTATCTACCGCAGTTTTTTCATATCCCTTTTCAGAATAGAAATATAATGAAGACATATTATATTATATATACCTATATAGATATATACATAAATTGTTAGTCATTTTTAGTGCATATAACCCCAATGTTCCCGCAAAGTCCATCTCCCTTCTCTTCTAAGATGTAGCATCATGAGTCGCCAGGAAAAAATGTATCTTGGTTGTCACTTCTCATATAAAACCTCAGAGTATGTAAAGGTATCCAAGAGCAGCACAACCATTTTATGTGAAAAAATCAATCAATTAATATATAAATATAAATACATATTTATATTAGCTTATCGCGAGCGTCAGCAAACAACTTGCACATTTTTTTTTTAATTACAAAAGATACAAGAAATGCCACAAAAGAAAAGCTAATACTATGGGGGAATAAATGGAATATTACAAGAATCAAGGTTTTGAACCTGATGCCGTCAGTTCCAGGGAAGCATGTCAGCCTGAGCCACTGCAACTAACAAAACTCAGCTAAGGATCTCTACCCTTGGCTTTTCTTGACAAGATAGACTGGTCCAAAATGAATAATAACTCTGTAGTATGTACATAGCCTTCTATGTTGAATTCAAACTTGTCTGACTAAAAAAGTCTGTGCTGTAATCTTGGCTGCCAAATGCCATCCTCCGAAACATTCTTATTTCTGCAGATTGCTGTGCAGAGTTAAATGCTTCGCTTTCCCCTGGCCTCATCCCGTTGTTCAAATCTGAATTTATTAAGCTATCAAAAGCTCTAACAACCTGAGAAAGATTATCCATTTCAGGCCAAAGTGGGGGAGGAAAAAGATGATCCAGTGATATTATCATTATTGTTTTGTTTCTTGTTATGTCATTTTAATAAAAAATCACGATGAATTTATGCTGATAGTTAATGACATGTTTTAAAGATTTTCTGCCAATGAAATTTATTACCTGTCCCATTCGAGGTCTCTTGGCAGCCGAATGTCGCACACAAGTTGCAGCAATTTCAATCATGCGAAACATCTCACTTTCAACATAGTTTTTTTCAAGCCGAGGATCTGTTAAACCTTCAAATTCTTCATTATCAATTGCATGACTCAGCAGAGGTCGAGCCTGGAAAATACGGTGATATCCTTAATCAGGAAAAGATGAGCCATAGCACTGTTAAGGTAAAGATGTTGACTTATCCAAGACTTTTACTTATACGCACCGTCAAACGCAACCCCCCCCCCCCCCAAAAAAAAAACAAGAGGAAAAAAACAAAACAAAAACAAAAACAACAAGCATGATACAACAGCAAACTTTATAGTGCTGTCCTCCTTTCTTTTCTTTCTCCATAAGGTTTGAAGTTAAAGAACGACAAATTAAATATCTTATCAAGCACCCTAATACCTAGATAAAGTCGCAGACGGATCCAGCTATGCACACTAACCCTAAGAGGCTAAGACCAAAACATTAAACTCTTGATGAGAAAACAAGATAAACAAGCAGAAAATTTCTTGTCTCAAAACAATTTCAGTACGTTATCATCACAAAAAATAAAAATTCAGACATTCTAACGACGACCACAACAAGAACAAAAGCTCACATTAAACAGAGAGCAGGAAAGAAAAAATCATAAATAAGAACATTTTTTGGCCCCAAGGAATGCCCAGAGTTATTTGAGGTTTTTGTTCCTGGATCTTTGGATATATAACGTGTCACGCAGCAATCAAATCCATCAGTTAGATAAATAGATAAACACGGCAGAAGTGGAAAAACTGTGCAGCTATAGTTCTAATAACAGGTTCGCAAAATCATAAACATTTTTACATCCTATGCAAAACCGATTACGATTGAAAGAAGAAATTCAGAAAAGAGAGCAAAACCACAAAAAGTATAAATTAACGGCTTCAAAAAACCAAGAGTTGCAAAAGATGGCAGCAGTAGTAAAAGAGAGATCATAACAACACTAGCATCTAGGTTTACCCATTCAACTAGGCTCTCATCCCCCAAGGGTTGAGATGCATCTACAGGCTTTCGTCCGGTAATGAGCTCCAGAAGGACAACCCCAAAAGAGAATACGTCAGATTTCTCACTCAATCTGCCACTTGATGCATATTCAGGTGCAACATATCTTTAAAAGGAAAAAAATGGACATAGTTAATATAGCTTTTTAAAACAAGAAGAAACCTAATACCCGTGCCATGGTTAAAAATGAGTGGCCAACTCCCTCTCCCAAAATGAACAGAACCTCAGAAAGACAATATGTTAGACCAATCAAAGATTACCCACCCAAATGTTCCCATGACACGAGTGCTTATGTGTGAAACTGTATCAAGAGTTAATTTGGCTAGGCCAAAATCTGAGACCTGGAATGCGAAAAGTAGGAAGAGTAAGATAAAGAAAGAAACTAAACGATTAATATCAAACTTTGAAAGAGTAAAGCAGAACAAACTTGAGCATCAAAGTTGTAATCTAAAAGAATGTTTGAGGACTTGATATCCCTGTGAATGATCCGAGGATTACCTGAAACGTGCACAACAACCAACAGCATAAGTAGCTAGCTCTTGTTAATAACAACGAATATTTTTCAAAGACGTAGAACAAAAAAGTTGTAGTTTGAAAGAGTTCCATGCGTAATTCTGTTGCCTGTCCCACTTCCTTTTTTTCTTTTTACGTAGCAAAAAGAAAGCACAATAAACTTACTACTGTGCTTCCATGAGCATATTAGGCGAATAGAGAAGATTAAACAACTCTACACAAGAGAAGTTTCTTTTTTCTGGTAAAGGGTTAAGATTAAGATAAATTACTATCTTTGCCCCAATAAATTCGTCGTATGAAGCTTGGATTTATACATCCATTACTGCATATTCCAATTATATCTTCTTACATATCAAACTTACCATCACATATTTAGTAGAAACTACAGTCAAATGTTTAAGTGATAATTCATCCAAATTTTTAATGGAAGAGTATCTGATTTAATAAATGCAATCAGAGATTTTCAAATGCTTTAAAGGCATTTTACGTATTTGTTCAGAAGTGTACATGCATGAAAGCCAATCTAAAATAGTATTAAATTAGGGATTGGTAATTTACAATCTTCATGAAGGTAAGCAATTCCTCGAGCTGCACCAGCAGCAATCTTCACACGTCTTTCCCAGCTCAACACCGGCATACCTTCCCCTGCAAAATTCAACTAACATGTCAAAGTTAATCACAACATCGTGAGCCAGCCTTCACAGCCCATCAGTAATGTTACCATGAAGATGATGATATAGGGTTTTGTTGGGGACATAATCATAGACGAGGAGCCTTCTGCTGTCTAAAATGCAGTATCCCACCAAAGAGACTAAATGGCGATGATGAATGCGACTAATAATCTCCACTTCAGCTTTGAATTCCCTTTCACCCTGACCTCCCCCGGCTTTCAGCTGTTTGACTGCTACCTCTCTCCCATCTGGTAGGCATCCTTTGTATACAGAACCAAATCCACCCTCACCCAAAAGATTTTGAGGCGCAAAATTATTTGTAGCTTTGATTAGTTCTTCGTATGTAAACCATGTCCTTGAGTTGCCTAGTCCACCCGGCTCAGATGGTGTGTATACAGAGTCACTACCGGAACCACTTTGTACAAAAGGAGCTGAAGAGTGTGTCTTAAAAAAGGATGAATCTGGACAACGTTAGAGAATTTAATCAGTTTAATGGTTTAAAGCCTGCAAGGACTTTGTTTTAGATATTTGCAACCATGTCCAGAACAATTATTGAGGGTGTTTTCATATTATATTTCCAAAGCACCAAACCACCAAATCAAAAAGGACCTGATAAAGAAGGGATAGTAGGAGCCACTAAGCATATTAAAGAAATAAAGATCTTAAAGTTCACAAGTTTACCTGACTCGGGTAATGAACCAGAAGTGGATGGCATGACATAACCACCACTCTCAGGCCCCCGTTTCTTTTGCCTCCTTATCAGGCACCAGATAAGCATTCCAATTAAGGTAAGCGCTATAATCCCCCTGCCACACCAATAGCCACTGCAACGCCCGTACTGATGCCCTCATTTTTACCGGCGCTTGAACTTTCTGTTCCGCTTTCTGATGGTGGGGAGGAATTTTGAGAAGCTGGTGGTGACAAAAGTGAGGACGGAGGTGGAGCCATCCGAATTATGGGTGGCGGCGGAGATGAGTTGGGGGTGGAATTTGGAGGAGATGGACTTGGTTGAGAAGTGGGTGTACTCATCTGAGGCGCCTCAGGGGCGGGCAAATTTACAGGCGGTGCTGATGCTGGTGGTGTAGATGACCCTCGCGGTGGCACAGCCACCGGCGGAGGTGGTGAAATACTCGGTGGTGGCACAGATGATGGCGGTGAAGATGAATTCCCCGGGGGGCTTGCTGTCGGTGGTCGAGATGAGTTTACCGGAGGGTTGGACGATGGTGGAGGAGGCGTGGGCGAGTTTTGGGGAGGGTCTGACGATGGTGTCGGGGGTGGAGGTGAGTTTCTTGGCGGATTTGCCGAAGGCGCAGACGGCGAAGGCACCGGAGATGGGTTAGATGGCGGTGATTGGGATGAATTTGCTGGCGGAGGAGAACTCACCGGTGGAGACGTTGACTGTGGTGGTGGTGAGGGGGAACGTACAGGAGAAGTAGGCGGCGTAGCATTAGGCGGAGGTGGTGGTCGTGACGCAGGGGCAACAGATTGTGGAGGAGGAGACAATGGCGGTGGAGTGACAGACGGAGGGGGTGTCGATGCCTGAGGTGGCGGTGACTGTGCTGGCGGGGGCGACCGGACAGTGGGAGGAGGTGCAGACGGAGTCACCGGAGGCGGTGCTGATGATGGCGGAGGTGCCGAAGGCGGCGGCGAAGGGGAATTGCCTGGTGGTGCGGGTGAAGACGATTGTGGTGGCGGAGTGGTGGCAGGCGGCGGTGCACTACTATTGGTCGAGGGTGTTGGTGGTGGTGGTGGGGCGGTGGCTGCCGCCGGAGACGGTGACGCCACCGACATCGTAAGCAATAATAATACTCAACAATGGCGTTCTTTCTGGAAACTCTGACGTCACTCTCACATACAACACACACCAGAGTTGAAAATTTCAAAAATCAAACTCAAGTGCAAAATTTAGGCCTGAAGCTAAAACGCCTAAACCTAAGTTGAAAAACCTCACATGAAGATGAAAGCTGCTTGTACCAAACTCTACCAACCGAAACCAATGTCTGAACTCCCACAACAAGCTATATCGAATTTCACAGAAACCCAAACGTTTCAGTTTCGCTGAACTCGCTTCAGACCGAAACCCAGATCACAACACACGTTGAAGCAAAACCCGAACCAAACCAAAAAGATCGCCGTGGAATCAAAGCTCAACCAACATCAAGAACAATCAAGGGAGATCAAATTTCTATTGGAAAGTTCATCAACTTCAATCCATATAATCTAAGCCAATCACAGCAATGTCCGAAGCATGCAGATACCAGAAAGCATCACCGACTTTCAAAATTCTCAATCGAAGTATATGACAGGACCAACGAATTGACTCGAAAAGAAGACGCGATGTGATCAGACTTCAAAACATCAAGTAAATCCCCATCGAATCATCGAATAACCCAACGAACTCCTCGAATTCGTTCTTTTTTCCAATAGTACATAAATGAAAATCGCTTCCTTCCTATGACTCTGTTTTGAAAATACGCCTCTGCGTTGCTGAAGCTAAAGCTCAGGACTCGAAGAAGAAGAAGAAGAACACGGATTGTGGGGTCCCAAATCTGCGAGCCATGTGAAAGCGACTAGAATGCGTGTATAGCTCTGAGAAAATATATAGAAAAATGTCTTGTACCATTGTGAATGGGGGAATAAAGGACCATATTCATTCAAATGAAATGCGGCAAAATATTAAAAATTTGGAAAATCAATATATTTAATATTTAATTATTTATTTATTGCTTATTTTCTCCTATGTCTTATTACAACGCCAATGGGATTCGATTCAAACTTTGACAATTAATTAAATCATAATTAATCCTTTAATTAAAAAAGGTACTACGCAAAGTAACGGCGCCGGTGACATTTCAACGCTTTTTAGATATATTATTAGCATATAAAAATATTTTCTCTGTTTTTATTTATAATCTAATTATTTACTATAATAATGATAGAATTTTCTGTTAAAAAAATAATAACCAATAATTTTAAAAGAAATTTTTTTTAAAAAAATACCTCTAAAATTTTAAAATCTTAAATCAGAAATGAAGTGTTTTCATTTGCTTTTTAAATGTTATTAGTTATTATTAAAGTGTAACAAACAAAGTTGATTTGCAATTTTAAAACTTAAAAATATTTTTTTTTGAAATTTTCTTATTTTTAAAAGTTTTGATAGCAATAATTCTTCCGGACTAAAAAGACATAGTTATGATTCAGATTCTTAAAAAAAAAAAAAGTAATGATTCTTAACGAACTTATAATTTTCATATAAAAAATATTTTTATGTAACCTTGGCCGTGACTCGTGATGGCTTTTGTTTTTTTTGTGTCTAAAAACTGTCCATTTTCTGTCACTTTTCTTTAAATTTTTAATTATACAATATCCTAAAATATTTTTAAAATAAGATATTTTTATAATACAATTTATAATTTAAAGCCACCCTCACCAGCCATTGGAGCTCTGGGTGCTCGCTCGTTGCGTTGTTAGGATCCCACCCCCCCCGGCAGAAAGTTAGTTAAGGTGGGATTTGATCACACCATTTCTTGAATCTAGGACCATTCAAACAGTAATCATTTACCTCATTAGCTAAATACTATATTTTATTGGCTATTCACAGTGCCCATTTAGCAAATTCCATACTTGGATTATTTAACATAAAATGCCATTATTTTAAAATATGTATTACACTTCATTCACTATTCATTCTACTTATGTAGTACTCCTCTAATCTTATTATAAGATAAAAAGAATGTTTTATTAGTTCTATTTATAAGTCACTTCACTAAATTTTTAACATGAGTACATTATTTTGTTTTTTATTTATTATAATATAGATAGTTATTTTTTTTAAAGGTGTATATAATAAATAAGAGTAAAGTTGAACAGTTGTTATATTTTAATAGAAAATTAATACAATTTAAGATTTTTCTTGGTCTATATGAAATATGTTAAAAATATTTTATAAATAAGACCAGATGAGTAAATAACAACGCGTTCTAACAAACTTGATATTTTGATAATTTAATTAAAAATTTTATTATTCCATGATATTTACTTTATTAATTGTTTGCTACACTTTTTTTTACCCAAACTATTTACTATGCTTTACCAGTTCCTCCTTTTGATTTTTATTTTAAGTTTCAGATAACTAATTCATGAATAACAAATAACAACAATAACAAGCCTTATCCTACTAGGTAGGGTCGACTACATCAACCACACGACGCCAATGTGCTCTATCAACGATGCTAATGTTGTTGACCAGGAGGTTATGTTTAATGACTTCGTTGAGCGTTCTTCTTGACCTTCCTCTACCTCTTTTGTATAAGATTCCAAATTGTCTAATCTACACTTCTCATTGAGGCCTCACATAGCTTTCTCTGCACATACCAGAACCACCTCAAGTGATGTTCAACCATTTTCTCTTCGATTGGCGCCACACCTACTCTTGGTTGGATATTTTCATTTCGAATCTTATTTTTTTCTTGTGTAACCACATATCTATCTCAACATCCTTATTTCTGCTACCCCAATTTTATGCTCTTGTTTTTTTCTTTATCATCCAACATTCACTATCATACAATATAACTGGTCTGATTGCAGTCTGATAAAATTTTTTCTTAAGCTTCTTAGGTACGTTTTTATCACAAATAACTCCGGTTGCCTTTCTCCACTTTAACCAACAAGCTTGTATTATATGTGAAATATCACCTTCAATTTCACCATCCTTATGTATAAAGGATCCTAGATATTTGAATTTTGACACTTGAAAAATAATTTGACCTCCCATCTTCACCTCCAAATCACCATTTCCTTGTTCCCCCTAAAATTGCAATGCATATATTCCGTCTTACTCTATCTCAAGTGAAAACCTTTCGACTTCAAGGTCCTTCTCCATAATCCCAATCTATAGTTAATCTCTTCTTTTGATTCAGAAGACTATGTCATTTGTGAAAAGCATGCACTTAGGGATTTTTTCTTGAATAAGCTCAGTTAGAATGTTTAGAACAATATTAAACAAGTGAAAACTCAAAGAAGATCCCTGATATAGACCAATCTTAATGGAAAAGTCATTTGTCTCACCTCCATACATTCTTACCCTAGTAGTTACCCGCTTATACATATTTTGTATGGTTTTGATATAAGCAACCCGTACACGTTTCTTTTTCAAAGCCTTCCGAAGTACTTCTCTTAGCACATGATCATAAGTTTTTTTTCAAGTCAATAAAAACCATATGTAAATCCCTTCCTTTACTCCTATATCTTTCCATTAAACCCCCTTAATAAATAAATTGCTTCTGTTGTGGATCTCCCCAGCATAAATCCAAATTGGTTCTTCGAAATAGAAGTCTCTGATCTCAACCTATGTTCAATTACTTTTTCCCACAACTTCATCATATGGCTCATAAGTTTTATACCCCTGTAACTTGCACATTTTTTAATATCTCTTTTATTCTTGTAAATAGGAACTAAAGTACTTTTCCTCCATTCATCCGGTATATTCTTGGAGTGTAAAATTTCATTAAAAAGCTTGGTCAACCACCCTTCACCCTCCTCGCCTAAACATTTCCAAACTTCGATAGGAATACCATCAGGTCTAACGACTTTACCATTATCCATTTTCTTAAGAGCTGCCTTAACCTTTTCAATGTAGATCTTACAGGAAAAAAAAACCAAATTCTGATCATCTTCGCTAATTAGTAAGTCCTCCAAGTTTTGAGTCACACATTCGCTTTTCTCATTGAACAACTTGTAAAAAGTGAACCTCTCACCTATCCTTAATATCTCTACCAGTAACTAGAACTTTACCATTTTCATCTTTTATACACCTCACTTAGTCCAAATCTTTCTTTTTCCTCTTTCTTTGCTTTGTAATTTTGTAAATATTTCTTCCCCCAGTCTTTGTTCCTAACTCGTTATAAAACTCCTCATATGCTTTAAATGTGCTTCACTCACTACTCTTTTTGTCTTTTTTTTTGCGCCAAACGATACTTTTCGCAACTTTTCTCACTATTGCACAAATGTATAGCCTTAAAACAAATTCTTTTCTGCTTGACTTTCTCTTGTATACTCTTATCCCACTACCAACTCTCCTTATCTCTTTGACGACGACCTTTAGATTCTTCCAAAATTGCTTTAACAACCATAAGAACCTTCTTAGCCATCTCCATCCACATAATGTCAATATTTCCCTGCAACTCCAAGAGCCCCTCCTCCAGAAGGATTCTTTTGAAAAACTCCCTCTTCTCACCCTTTATTGCCACTACCTGACACTGAGACTTACCATTTGATGATACTTTTGTCTAATACTCTTAAAACGCACATCAAGGATAAGTATCTTATGATGGGCAGTCACCCCATCCCAGGGATCATTTTGCAATTAGTACAAAGTCTTTTGTTTGGATTTTTAACCAAAAAGAAATTAATTTGTGATTTAGAGGCTCCATTCTTGTATGTGATTAAATGCTCCTCTCTCTTTTTAAAACAAGTGTTAACAATCTTGAGGTTGTATTTTCATGAATAACAAACAATTAGTTAAAATAAGTTTAAAATAATAAATAGGTTAGAAATATACTTTTATTTTCAAATATGCTCTTATAATAAATGAGAAAAAAGATGAAAAAGAACGTATGGGGATGTGAAAAGGGAAGTTTTGACAAAGAAGAGAAAATGAATAATGAAAGACAAAATTAAAACAATACATTAAATATTAAGATAAATAACAAATTTGAAGGTTATAAATACAAGTATAGGACTGGAGGAAGCATTGACTATGCCTGTTTAGCAAATCACAACAAGCTCCGCCAACTTAGTAAGTGTGTCCTGAGATTGAAAATACACAAAAAAAAAAAGCTTAATGAACTGTAAATATCCTTAAATACTGGACTTTAAAATTAAATTATCCAAGCGTAAAATTTGCTAATAATATTGTTGTCGCTCACTAAATGTTATGGCAAATATCTAATGAACGGTCTCATCAAAAAATATCTAATGAACGGTAGTAAATAGTTAATGAAATGTTACAAATAAATGTTGTTTGAATGGTCAATATTATTATTAATAACAAAAATAGGCTTTTCTTGTTTTGGTTAGAGTAATGACATTTCGCTTAATTATTTGTTTAACCAATATGATCATTTTCGTGTTAATTAATTTATATGATTTAATTGAATGAGGGGATAAGTTATTTTAGTGAAAAAAATTGGAGGATGACATTGTTCAAACAAACTGTTCTTACCTAACTAGGAATAAAAAAAACAAATACAATTAAGTGAAGATTTATTTATTCATTTTGTTTTTTCCGGATGAGATTAAGAGTATCCACTTTCAACCACAGAATTTATTCTCTTTTAAAGTTTGGAAGGCCAATAATAAACGTCTCTAAATTAGATATATTATTATTAGCACTTGAGATGATGAAAAAAGACCAAGAAAAACTAAACAAAAGAAACAAGAAAATAACTAGAGATAGTTATGATAACATGTTGAGTTTTTGTTCAAGTTGTTGCCATGGTTCATTCAATAATTTATTTCCATAAAGATTGATGTTATAATTAATAATATAAAATTGTAATAATTAATATTAAGGTCATTGTATAAGCAACTAGAGATAGTTTTACAATTTGTCACTACTCATGACTTTTGGTTGAAGCCACATGTGTATT